GGGTGTGTGTGCTGTGCATGTATACAAAACTAAAGAAAATAGTATTTTGAGTCCAAAAGTCTCATTCAAAACTTTCAAGTGAAAATGAACACAAAATAGAACTACAAATTAAAACAACAGATTGCATTTTGTTTCCAAATACTTTTTTCAAAATGAAACTTTTGATTTTGAAATTCCATGCTTATCATTCTGTGCTAAAAAATTATCAATGAAACTACATTTATAAGCAGGGGGATTTTCCATGTTGGAGGTGAGTCAGGCCCTACAGGCTAGATATGACTTTGTGCTACATTCTTCTCCACATGCTACTGTGCACGTACAGCCTCTCCACCCTTCGTGTATGCACTCCACCTTCCTTTCTGAAAAAGTAAACAGCCCTTGTTGAGGTTCCAGATTTTCCTGACAAAAAAAAAAAAAAAGCGCTTATGTTTACAACAACAGCTTAACAAGACAACTTTGTGCTATCAGCAGTACTGTATTTTGTAAGCTTTCATTTTGGCTATCTAGCACTCCTCATCGCTTTTCTAATCCAAAGAGAATACTGCACTACAAGTCATATGAGTCTGGCCTTGCTCCCACAAAATCAACACAGATGTTGCTTCCCAAACTGCTGCAGCCTGTGCAGGCAAAATCAGGCAAACTACATAGTTAATAAGCTGAGCAGTGATATACAATTATGTTTGCCCAACTTGGCAGTGTCTCTACTCTTGTGCAATAGTGCTTAACGGGTCCAAAACTTCCCAGTCTGTACATACTATGACCAAAATGAAACCAGCTCCACTGCCTTAGAAATGCTGCCATTTCTTGTGAAATCAACCATTGTGCTGTCTGTAACATAGTGTCATGCAGAGATTCCCAAGTTGAGTGAGAATAACGCAGAAAATTAGCAAGTTCTGAAGCTAGTAGACACATACCTGTACCTATTGAAAGACAACACTGGTGTACTGACACACTGATGTGGCTGTGTCCAGAATGCAAATGCATATAAGCGTGTGGTAATATGCTGTCACACACAGAACTTTACTTTCTCAGAGTTCCCTAGAGAATAGATCATGTGAGTACAAATAATAGCAAACTTGCTTTTTATCCATAAAAACCTGATATTAACAGATACGCTACATTTGATGCATGCAAGTATGCAATCCTCCTATGGACATCATGAAGGACTGAATCTCCCCAGAGCCTTCTGCCACTTGAACTAAAGGTGAACCCCAGGCTCTCGGTAAAGAAAAGTTTTTACAACCCCCACCAGAGATAAAAATGTGAGCACACTCTTGAGGCCACACACAGAAAAGGGACAGAACTGTGGACTGCAACTTTTAAGTCCTCAGGCCTTTACTTCTTTAGCTAACACCAGTAACAACCCTTAAGGCTTCTTTAAACCTCTGTTTTAAATGGTGGCACAGTTCCACCCACATTAGACCAGATCCAACGTGCCTCTGGAGTCAGCAAAGAGCTCAGACATCACCACAAGAGGAACAATATGGATGAAACAGATGAATCAATCATATTGTAAATTATCCTGCTCCTCCCAAGCACTGAATCAAAATTTCCATGATTGCCACAGACTTGGAGGTTTTTGTCAGCCCCTTCCCTTGCCTGGAAATAAGAGGAACATCATAAGAAGGTTCTGGAAAAGTATTCATAGCATTATTTCCCCCATTTTGGGATAATATTATAGCTTGCCGTTTTGTAGTGCCTCTCCTTTAAGAAATACAAAGACCACTGCACTGATCAACATCTCATCCACCAAAACTTTGTGAAGCAGAACATGTAGTTCATAGGAAACTGAAAACACAAAAGAAGGGAGCGATATCATACAACAGCAAGGCCGGGAAAGGAACCCGGTCTCCTACCTTGCATCTCTTGCTGATTATGCTACAGAACAGCTTTGTTCAGAAGAAAAAAAACACCAGGCTACAAGACTGCATTCAAAAAAGCTCCTACTTTAAGCAGGAGCCTGTGATACTAATGCCCAATTCATGGCTTCAGGAAAATTATGGGGAAGGTTCCCAGGAACTTCATTGATTTAAATCAGGACTGAAGAGTGATGAGAAGAAAGCTGCACTACATTGAGTCTTGGGAACGACCTTCACAGACTAGAAGGATCACTGACCTCTCCCTCATCTTTTGAGAGTAGCTGTCCACAAGAAAGAAAGTCTTCATATTTGGCAAAGGGGATGACAGGCTCTGGCAGCTCTCGAAGGTAAAGCTTCAGGAGGGACGCCACAGTGTGAACATCCGTGTTGCTGCAATAGAGAAGAGGGAAGGAAATTTAGAAACCCACACTACACCAGGCTTGATGCCTTTCATTGGGGGTGCATCTAAGTCCCTCTCAGGGACAGGGACAAAGTAGGCAATTGGAAGAAAGCTGTTCTGACACGTGTTTGTATTAGGCAGGAGGGTCTACCTGGGAACAAGGGAAATCTCCAATTTTCTCAAAATATAAAAGCATCTTGGGCAGTAGAAGGGATATGTCCATGATACTGCTTAAGAGGTAGGGTGGTGCTGCAGTTCCTCAACCAGTTTGGATCAGGAACGTGAGCAATGAAGTCCAGGCAAGTGCACAGTGATCACATAGATAGATATCACTGACAATAGAGCTCTGCATCCTCATGCAGTCAAAATAACCTCTGATCCACTCACTGATCCCTCCTGCCTGATACTTTTCCCAGCCAGCACCCACCTGTGTCTGATGGGCCAGGCTCCCAAGTGTCCTGGTCAATCATTCGGAAAAAAATGGAGGAAGCTGTATTTCCTCCAGGCCCTCTATTGCCATTTGGCATGGCTTGTGGGTCACATCTCCTCCCCCAGGCTTAGGTATCTGGAATTTCCTAGTCCATCTGTTATGCTGGGATATCATCTTTTCATTTCTTTCCCACTCCAGGAACTTCTCTTTCCTCTTCTCTGTCCTCTGCTTTAAGTTGGGGTTGAGGTGTCAGATTCCATGGTGAAGACGAACCTGTTCTTCCCTTTCCATTTCCCATCCAGCTTCTGATGTATGGCAATACCTCTCCCTCACTCCAAGTCCCTTGTTGTACAACTTTGTTAACCTTTGCAGATGACCTCCTCAATAGCTTTAACTGTTGGAAGTCTAAACAGATTCTGTCACCAGCTCCCCACTACCCACCATTGCCCTGACAGTCTTTGAAAAACTCTGAGGAAAAACATGTCAGTAACCATGGGACAATAAAGCTTCAAATCCTCACCTCTATCTAAAAGCTGAATTTCTTCCACTTAGTACGTTTTTAAGCATTTTTAGAACACACAGCTAAAACAAACAGGAAAAATTACAATAGGAAGCTACCAGCAGCTACCACTCGCTACTAATCCTGATAAAGCTATTCCTATTAAACAGCTCCATAACATTTGAGAATACCAGTTTCACATAATGGTTTTCTTCAGTTGGTTATAAATGCTTTACAAATGAGGTCAGTACCATTATTCTTTTTTTCTTTTTTTTAGTGTGCAGTTCCAGGCATGGATGGTAGATATGACTCTCACTCAGAAGCAGAGCCCAGAATACAGCTTTAGGTCTGCTGGCTGCAGCTATCATTTCATTCTCAAGGCCGTGTGAAATCCAGCCAAACTTTCAGTGGTGTGGAACTGCAATAGGAGCAGACTGCGTAGGTGCTTCCAAAACAGCAACACCTGGCCTTTCATAAGTATATATGCATTTGAAACCCAAGTTTGAAAAGCAAGCCTTTTAAAATATTTTAATTGTCAGTCATCACAGAGATCCAATCCACCATAGGGCAGGAAGGCTCATTTGGAAGATCACTTTGATACAAAAGACATTTAAAAGCACTGACTGTAACTAGGCCGGGGGGGGGTGGGGGGAGGGAAGAAGGGATACTCCTTTCACTGATTTGGAAACAAGCATATGGATTTCACACTTGCAGAAAATCTTTGCTGCTGACTAGGTGTCCTAGGCCATACATGGATGGTTTTAGTTACACATAGAGAAAATTATGCTTGCTAGGAGGAGAAGCATTTCACTTAGGCAGGGTGGAACTGCCTCTCACTTGTTACTATCTGTATCTATACATATGAAAGACCAGAGAGCTGGGCCTTCAAGTTGCAGTGGACATGGTGGAAAGAGCAAAAAGCAATGACTGAGGGGCCCTCAACTGTCACAGTCCTCAGGTACACCTAGACTTGCCTCCTTTAATTCTGTACTAACCCTTAGTTATCACATTTCAAATCAACTACCCAAAAGGCAGGCATTCCTTCATGGAGATCTTTACTGCCACTGTCAAAGGTGAGATTTAGCACTGATCTATTTAGTCAGTGCAGATGCCTATGGAAATAAAGGTGCTTTCTGCTTTAAAAATGCTGGGAGTAGGGCAAGGCTTGGTTTAGCCTCATGACAATAAAGTTAGGATGGGTTAGACTAAGGTAAAACATGAAAATGAAACTTTCATTCCTAATTAATTACTTCCATAGATACTTCTGTTCCAGAATATGATCGTTTTCCAAAATAACTTTGTTCACATGAATTAAGATCATTCTAATTCTGAACTAGAACACCCAGACATTCAGTTAAAAACACAAAGATTTTGTTTAAGAAAAGATGAAGTGAGACAGTTTGATGATTTCAAACTTTATTTTTTCATTAAATATCTCCAAATATTTGACACTTCCATTTAGGGAGCAAGTACTGGCTGTGGTTAAGAATCAAAGAAAAAAGGATGGGTGGTCTGGGAAACTGAGGGGAAGGAAGAATTAGAAGAATGTTCCCAATAAACTCTAAAGATATTCTTCCCAGGATGAGACCAAACACCATTCTGCCCATGCAGGAGAGCGCTAGCTCTTCCTGCAGCAGTAGGCAGTGATGCTATTGGCAAAGTTGAGACTGGCTGCAGGTCCAGGGAAAGTGACCCCCTATGTTAATGTGCTGGCAATATACCAGATGCTGCCTGCATCACCTGGAAAAGTGGTGCTAGTGACTTCCAGCAAGAAATGGAGCCAAGTCTCCAAGTCAAGATCCCAGATCTGATCCCACTTCTGGACCTCTGATCACGATTGAGCCAGATCTACACAATGGCCTTGGATCCAAATATTCCTGGAGTTGAAGGTCTCTGTTAGGTCAAGGCCCATTTCTCAGAGCACTGTTTAGGTTAGCACAATGCTGACCTTCACTCTGGGTAGCATGTACACATGAGAGAGGAAAAGAAATGCTAGTTACAAAGTATGGACAGGATTTGGCTCTAAGGGCCCTGAGAGTATCCACCTTCCTGATGATTTGACTGCCTAGGCTCAGGGCCAACACAGAGATAGTGCAGCTGAGAGCTGCCCTCCTTCCCTTGCTGACCTTGGACTGAGTACTCTGAGCCAGGGTTGACACTCTTCCCGTGGGACCCAACATTAAACTGAGCATCTACTGTTTATTCTGTGTCTACAACCCCCACTGCCTCACAGCCATGTCTGTTCCTGGCTACAGACCCTGTTAATCTGGACCTAGACGCTGACTGACAGGACAGATTACCTAGCCTGATCTTGGACCTGCCTTGTCACTGTGGACTTGCCTGGTGATCACTGGACTGTGTCACTGCCTTATTACCCCACTTGGATCCTGGCTCACCTTGCTTTGCAGACCAGCTGGCCCTTGCTGTTCCCTGACATTGGCACAGTCAGCAGGATAAAAAGGCAGCTAGCACGTCTTTGTACCAGGCAAGGTATTACATCAACATTTTTATACTGGGAAAGAAAAAAAAAATGCAAAATTGCCATTTTATTTCAGAAACATTTGATTCAAGTTTTGTTGAAAATAAAAAAAATTTAGCTGCTGAAATTGTGGACCAAAAAAAAAAAATTTTGGCCAAGAATTCTTCTGGGGTCAGAAAGTGCTTTATTCTGAATGCTGACCAATTCTATACATTGCATGCATGACAGCCATGATGTGTGAGATGGTGGTGACTATTCTGAAACCTGGTCACAAAGGAAGGGGAAGAGGTGAGATACTGCCCCGGACAGATCTGCTGTGGCTTGGGCAAGGGAGAATGCAACATCTGAAAGCAGTCAAACACCCAGTTCACCTCTGTCATACCCATTTCTACAGTGGGATCCCACACTGAGTATGCCACACCCAGATCTAGCAATGCATTTCATTCAACATGTGCTTAAACTGAAACACTGGAGTAGCCCCATCTAGATTAATGGGCTCAATTTCTCCCTCTGATCAAGCACTTAACTGAAGGCAGGCCTCCGTACCCAACACCATGCAGGAGAAAGCCCTCAGCAGCCTTTAAGTGAAAAGAACAATGGTGCAGAAAGAACATGTAAACCAGGATAGTCACTGCAAGGCAGCTCCTGCCAGATTTTACATGCCACAGAGAAATTAGACTGCATTCACCCATGTCAACTTACCTATCAAAAAGGGGCTTCTCTCCACAGTCAAAAGAATCCTGTAGATCCTTGACAAGGTTGGCTTGGCCAGGCATCCGAAAGAGCCCCTCCTCTGTAAGGCCTCGCTCCCGAATAAAATCCACACACTGTTCCACCAGCAGTGGGGCCAAGCGCTGGCCATACTTCCTTTCATACTGTACAGTGTCCTCCAGTCGCTGTCCAAAGATCCCTGCCAACAGAGAGCAAGAGACACATCTGGGTGTCAGCTTAAACTCCTCTTGAGCTATCACTCAGGGCATAAAATGAGGGACACTTTCACATGGAAGGGGTGAACCTGTGTGAAAGTCCAGTTTCTAACAGACTCAGAAGAGGAAAACTATTTTTAAAACCAAGAATTATATGCCAAGAATTTTTTTTTTCCTGCTTAACACTGTTTAAAACTATCTTCTGCCCTAAACCAGTTGGTATCTCATTATACACAAGGAAGGTGGGGTGAAGATTATGTTTATGGTTATCCACAGCTGTCCTGAATCTGGATTAAGTAATTATACTTCCATTGCATCTTCTGTCCCAAGAATGCCAAAACAAAGGTTACACTGACTTTCTGGGACACAATTCCTTTCTGCATGCACCCACCTCTTAGCTGTCACACAGATGCCCTTCAACAGTTTGCAGCTCCCCAGTCCAACAGGCAGCAATGCTGCTAGCAGGTGATTGCTAACATGACAAACTACATTAAAACTGGCTATTGTGAAAATCCCCCACCATCCTGCAAGCTTTGCATTTCTATTTCTTTTCCGTTAATTAAAACTGCTGAATGAAAATTAAAACAGTAAAATGCATGCAAAATAGATTGCCATTTCTACTAAACTGTTTATGCTGTACTTCTTGCACCATGAAAACATTGGAAGCATCAGATACTTTAAAACCAGACTGGCCTAGGCAATTCTTGTCAGATCTACTGTAGACATATGTCACCAAGTATGAAGCCCTGTCTCTCTTTGGGGAAACTAGAGCACCTGATCAACACCAGCTGCTGAATGCCACTATTGGCACCAGATCTTTTCAGCAACACAAAAGCGGCTCAAACTGTAAGACCCAGAGGTCTTACTTCAATCCCTGCTACTAGGAGACTGGTCCATCTAAAAGGACAGCTGCTGGGTTGTGTTCTGAAATCCCAATTCCACCACCCTACAAGGTGTGGTGGGGTCAGGGAAGACAGCATCCAAGTTAACCATGTTTTGGTAATAAGAATTCAGTGACAGAATCCTAGAATCTACTGAATTTGAGATGAGATCAGACCACAGCAGATAGGAAATTCTGTTCAAAGATTTCTCAAAGCAACTGGAAGCTTTCCAACGATATCAAGGAACTTTAGATCATGTATTCAGCACTCAGTTAATCCTGCAGGTCTGAAAAAAAAAAAAAAAAAAAAAAAAAAAGCAACCAACAGCAAGAAGCAGATTTAATGGATGCGTGCATGTGCTTATAGCAGGGGATTTGGTCATTTCTTAAGGCTCTAGTTACCTTCCCACGAGTAACCCCACTTTCCATTTTTATTCTAGTGCTATATTCACGGGAAACTGATAACTCCTGGCAGTAAGCTTCTGAACCACCATTCGCTGTCCTTCATGGGAGACATCATGTCAAACCATACCATCTTTCTATATTCAAACCAACCCTGCTGAATTCTCAGTGAAACAAACCTTTCATTATCAGTTGAATGAAACAAGCAAAAAGGATCCCAAAGTCCTATTTCCTTTCTCTGCCAGTTTGCTATACATCAGAAGACAGAAATCTTCCTTATACCCCAGCCTACACAACTGCATTACAGTATCAGAGCTGGAGGGCCATAAGGAGTCTCAAAGGAAATTCCCTCCTTACCCTGGCAGAAGGGCTTGCCCTGGAGCATGGGAGTGATTCATCTTTATCATTGTAAATACTGGGTTTCTTTCAGAGTAAAGGTTTTACTAGATCTCATTTCTAATCTGTTTGAATTTTCACTGAGATGGGCATCTCTGAATTCACTTTCTAGGACAGGGTATCTCTTCCTGCTTTTGCACAGTTTGCTTTGTAATCTCATCACGTAATCCCTGCTGTCATGATGCAGCACAGCAGAACTACTTGGCACATGGGGCTCAGGGTCTCCAGGGCACTTACAGAGGCTGAACAGCCATGAAAGAACAACCTTTTCAGCCCAGTTTCTCAGGTAACTTCTGAATCCAGATCATAGCTGGAGAAGTGAACATCTCTCAGCCTCTCTGCTGATCTTGCTTACAAAGGAGTAACTCTCAACATTGCATATCATACACCCAGGAATGATCCAAGTAACAAGAGTTGTAAGCTACAGTGCAGGTCCCTCAGCTGAGCAGGAACACGTGTCCTGTCAAACCTCCCTCATGCTATTCTGCTAGTGACCATTTCTTCCTCTTCCTCTGACCTGAATGTTTGATCCTGGGCCATGGGCCAATGCAAACCAAGCATCAGTTACAGCAAGCTTGGGTCAGACCCCAAGCTGTACACCTTAGCGACAAAAAACCCCATATCCTATCATCAATCTCTGAGACAGGCTTCCTCCCACCAAACCCATTTATTTCCTTAAAATGATACATGGTATTCACTCTTCTAGATGCAAGACATACAGGTTTAGGGAGGTCAGGCTGTGGTAGAGGTCAACACAATACAGGATAGCAGCCCTATTTTCTCAAATCTCTACTTGTTGAATCACAACCCTGTTTCCTAAAAGGCCTGTCTAGAGAAGGCTCTGGGAAAGAGTAAATGCTCTGTATTCTCCAGGTATAGGAGCACAAAGATGCCTTCCAGAAGCTCATGTTCTGATGTTGCAGACTTAACTCAGAGCAAGGACAAAGGCAGTGTCAGACACTCACATATGCAAGCACACGCAGAGCAACTGCATGCATAATCTTCACTTGCTATGTGAAGCTTTTTGTCTACTTTTCCCTATGCTTGGCTGCTCTATGGTCAGCAACCTGCTCTAATACATTTCAGACAACATCAGTCTTTGCCTTCCCAATCAACTTGGATCACCACAGCAGTAGCTTTCTGTAGGTACAATCAACTGATCAGTGACTCCTGCGTAACAAGTTGACTGCAGGCAAACAGAGACCACTGACACAGAGATTAAGGAATGTGATGCTAAAATAATGGATAGAGATAGAAGGGTGACCTGTTTTGAGATTCAGAAGGAGCAATAGTGGACCTTTCACAAGCAGTGTATTAACATTACTATGGGTGTCTGCTGCAGAAACAGATGCTGGGGACCTATTTCAAATAGGTAACAAGATAAACCAGCCATGAAACCAAGACTGACACAACTGAGGATGAAGCTGATCTACCTATCATATGATGAGCGAAAGGAGCTGGCACAAGCATGGGTTTCTTCCTGTGTGACAGTGTGTGCAAAAGGGCTGTGCAGGCAAGATCACACACAGCCCTCAGAGTTCATTTTTTGCTGTGCAGAAGAAAGGACCCTGAAGCCACTGCCAGGGTGAAAGACTTCTCCCAGCCCAAGTCTCTTGGCTGCCTCCCACCTTGGTTTGATAGCCCCACTCCAGTCCAATTGCTGATCTTTGTTTTCTCTTTTCCTCACCCCCAAACCCTAATTTTCCAGGGAAGCATTAGAAAAGGTCACCAACCATCGCAGAGACAGAATATTTTGCCCAAGCCAAATCTGTTAATAACTGCAACTTCCCCTTGGCAGGCCCAACTACACTGCAGCTCTAAGCTTTTTCCTTATCTCTCTCCTAGCCCTTATTTTTTTTGCTAGGCTATAGACAAGGACAACCCCCCTGCCACTGCTCAGAAGAAAGACTGCTCCCAGGCTAAGTCTTTTGGCAGTAAGAGCATTAAAGTTGGGGTTTAGAGAAAAAAAGGACAGAACTGCAGTTAGAGTGGGGCTGGAAAGTTGGCCCTGAAGAAACTGTTCATCTGTGCAGTGGCTGCAGAGTTTATCCGTGGCTTAGAAAAGGAAATTAGTGTTAGGGTTCAGAGAAGGAGCAAGCTAAGAGCTATCTTTGGAGTGGAGCAGGAAAGGGACTGTCAAAGGCAAGTTGGAGTTGCTGACAGTTCTGGACTTGCAGAAATCTTTCATCTGGGCACCTGCTTGATGAAGTCTACCCTCAGGAAAATTACCACTAGGGCTCACAGCTACACTGGCAAAAGACATAGCAGATGCACCTACTTCAGTCTCCCAGGGCTAAACAGGGCAGACTGAGAAGGCAGTGTCCTGCTAGCTCTGTAAAGCTCATCCCACTTCAGCTGGTTCTCAGAAGGGCTTGTAAAACTGATGTAGTAAAATGTCCCTAAAACTACCAGTATGTGACAGCATCACCGGGCTGGACAGAAACTGCCCTGTCTTACAAGGAAAAGCGAGTATGGAGCCAGTCACACAGTCTCATCTGCTGTCTCCTCAAGGCACAGGCCTGTTTTTAATCACTGGGGCCTGCAGCTCAGACTGAACTTGGCAGCGCTTCACTCCATTTGATGATCCTGCTGGAAGACATTAAAGTCTTTCTCTTCATTCAGAAGAAAGGGAGCCAGTGCCATCCAGTCATACTCCCAGACAGAGTTAGGCTGGAAATAAAGCCAAAAGCTACTAGCAACCCAAGGGTTAACTTTCCTTGTCATACCCTTATCTATAGCTAGGTCCTTTTGTTTCGTTTCAAAGCAGACAAAAAAATCCAGCATGCCTGGGACCACATCCTTAATCTCAGAAAGATTCAAGAGATACTAAAAAAATGGGCTAGCAGAACTACAGAATTTCTTTACTCCAACAATCTGCCTCTGTTCTTCAAAGATTTAGGTGACTCTTTGTGGAAAAAGCAAGCCAGGAATGATGTACTGACTAAGGCACAGACAGGCTCTCTGTCCTGGCCTGAATAACTCACCCACCAGCTCCAGGCATACAAAGCCTATACATTCAGCTATGCTGTCCAGACATGCAGTGGGCAGGAAAATATATGCTCTCTGCTTCATATTTTTCCTCATCAGAGCTCTGATTTCAACCAAAATAAACTAAAGACAGAGATAATAAAGTCAGTTCTTGAGTAGATTTTCTTTACAGGGAGGAGTGAGGACTCTGTATGTGCTTAAAGTGGGAAAAGTCCAGACATACCAACGCCAGCTGTATGTACAGCTTAGTACACACACGTTAAAAGATGTGCGGGAAGATAGTCAGGCACACACCTGGATGCTGCTATACAGCAGTAC